CCCGCTGGGAGGGAGGGGACACGGGGACGTTAACCGCGTCCACAAATGGCTCCGCGCCGCGTGACGCGGACGCCGCGGCCAGAACGGGCGGGGGCAGGAAAGGGAGCTGCCTTCGGGTGTAGAAGCTGCCTGTTCCCGAAGGGGGAAAAGTGATGACCATTCAGAAGGTAGGAGGTAGTTTTAACATGATCTCTGAGTCGAATGAGGCTGACACTTAAGAAATTCTGCTTTTAATTTTAGAGATTCCTGTTTGCGAGGAGACCAGGAGCTGCAAAAGAAATCTAAGAGCTTCTGGCATTTGTCAGTTTTTGAGCTCAGGCGTTTTTTGGGAGCAATTAGACTCAGCTGAGTTTTTGGAGAAATTTCTGTTACTGGCTTGATTATAAAATGTGGTTATCGCTTTCACTCTTTTGGTCAAAGATTAACCCCACAGTCTCAGTGGAAACAGGTGCACGGTTTTTTGAGCACACCGTCCTGACTCCAGCTGACTTTGTCTATATAAACTGATAAGAAAATGCACGAGACTTGTAGCCACTTTTTAAAAAGCAGGATGTTAATTTTGCTAAACGTCCCAGGGAGAAGTCATGTATTAAACACTAAAGGGTCTCTCTAAGTCAGTTGGATTGACCTATATAAAGTGTAGGTCTTACGCACACACGTTTTTATGTGCTTTTTCATATAATTGAAGACTATTCTCCCGGGTCTCATGCAATTTATTGAAATGCTAAGATGGCGAGGTCTCCCAGGTGGCCCACATTTTCCCCAAATGCCTTGTTTTCCTCAACCGACTCCCAGGAGGAGCCATTAGTTCCTGAATAAGCAGGCTGCCTTGGTAGAAAGCATTTGTAGTTTAAAAGCTGAATGTGCAAAGTTAGGCTAGTTTCTAATGGTTGGGCTTGTGTATGGAAATATTTGAGACTAGCTGACCTCACAAACGAGGGTCCAGACTGTTAGTCCTGGTTCTAGAGAAGGTTGTTATTCATGCTGGCCTTAGGTAGTGGGCAGCTGGAAGTAAAATAGAGCAGGGATGGAAACTGTTACTGCATAGGTTTAAATTATCTGTTCATGTTCCTGTTATTTTATGTAGTAAGATCTCCTGAAAGTTCCAGTCTGGGTCAGCTCTTCCAAGTGGAGTCATTGAAGGGCTTTGTACTCACATCAGCCAGGCCTTTCCCAGGAGGTAGGGCGCCCGCCCCTGCAGGCCAGGGCGGAGGTGGGCACAGCAGTTTTCGCAGAGCGATGAGTCCCAAGGAAGATGATGGATAAGAGGGCACATTCAAGTAATCTAATCTTAGTGGTCTTTTCAAGAACCGTCTCCATCCAGAGGGAAACAGTAGATAAGAGATTTTATTATGAGAGTGTTGGTTAAACAGGGCCAGCATCTTGTTTAACAGGAATCGGTTCTTTAATTGAAATTCTCTTTTGTCAGTGAAACTGCTCCTGAGGGCAAGACAGCCTTGCTTCGGTTGGATTTGAGAGGATTTGACAGCTGTGTGGGCAGAGCTTACTCCGTGGAAGGTGTTATTTATGCCCCCCCCCAACAGGTTTACAGAGAAGACCCAGTTACTAGAAGTCTCGGGTTGTGTGACGTCATGACTTAGTAGACTTGGTCAATAGCTAAAAAGGATGAAGTAAGTGCCCCAGGGCGGGTGGAGCACAGTGGGATGATTCTTGCCCGAGAACCTGGGACATCACGTTGCGGCTGGACCTCGGGTGCAGAGTAGAATTTTACAGGAGAGACATGAAATAGGGACATTCTTGGTGGCGGACACCAGGAGCAAATATAAGAAGCTTTAAATGTAACTCTGTGTAAGGAGGGTGTGGCGGGAGGCCTGCCTGAGAGAGAGGCTGTATAGAGAGAAACTCTACTTTTTAATCAAGGCTCTAATTTTTTTCCTTTTTATTAAAGCAAACATAAAAGCAGAGTGACTAGTATAATGAACTTCCATATATCCATCAAATAGGTTTCACGATGGGTTAAAATGATGTCTTTTTTTAGCCATATCTGCTTCATCTTTTTGTTGAAATAGTTTAAATTGCAGATGATGTAATATTTCACCCCTAGCCAGTGTGGTGTGCACCTCCAAAAAGGCATCTTCTTGTATAACGGTAATACCACTGTCACCTCCTTATGAAGGTCATTCCTTAGTGTTTTTCAAAACTCAGTCCACAGTCACATTTCCTTGATTGCCTTGGAAATGCACTTATACTGTTGGTTTCTGTGAATCAGATTCCCAACAAAGGCCACACGTGGTACTCTGTTGAGCACCTGTTGCCTCTTAATCCAGGATGGGAGTTGGCAAACTTTTTCTGAAAAGATCCAGTTACTAACTCTTTGCTTTGCAGGCCACATGGTCTCGGTTGCAGCTTCTCCACTGCTTGGGCCCCCAGAGTAGCCACAGAGGATACTTTATGCGCATGGCTGCATTCCAGTAACATTTTGTTTTCAAAGTTTTTTGTTGTTGTTGTTTTAAACTCTACCAGTAGGTTGCACTTACCCGCAGGCCACAGTTTGCGTTGCCTGGTCTAGAGCAGCCCCGTGAGCGGTCTCCTTAACGCCAGTGATGTGTTGGCATCACTTGGTGTGGCCTGTGGATGGCTCGCTTTGTGGATTTAGTCAGGTTTTTGTATAGCGTGGTTCAGCTTGTTCCTCTATACTCTGTACCTCCTAGAAACTGGACAGTGGATCTAGAGGCTTAATTAGGTTCAGAGTCACCATTTTTGGCAAGGATACTTCAGATGTGGTCTGAATTTTTTTTAAATAAATGTATGACTTTAAAAGACTCAGAAACCCACATTCAGGAAGCTCAATATTCCTAAGTTAAGCTTTGCCGGATGGCTGAAGATACCCTTTTTTCTTTCTCATTTTCCTTACTTGGAGGAGAGGCTATAGCTGCTATCTCTCAAGAAGGTGGAGGACTGTGAGCCCCCCTCGAGGTCAGTGGGAACTGCCCTCTGATCGCGGCATCCTGCCGCCCCTTGGGCTGGTGGACCACATTTTCCACTGAACGGCAGTTCCTTCCTTCCATGGGCCCACCCACAGGTCTGAGAGCATCCGAGGGGCCGGAGGATGTGTTCTTGTCTTTCAGCCCCTTGTCTCTTAAACATTCAGCTTTCTCCACTCACCTTCCTCTTCATCTCACCCGCTAGCAGGACTGAGAACTGGATTCTTGGTCCATGGGCTTCTGGTCACACTACGAGGTGGGAGTCCTACCCTGGTGTCCTGTTCGGAAGGATCCTGACGTCAGAAGCTTTTCAGACTCAGACTCGCGATGGTGTGGAATTCCAGGGCGGTGCGTTTTTGAAGAAACAAAATTACAGGTGAGAATTGTTTTTCCTCTCTTCTGGAGTGTTTGTTGCTCCTACACTGTTGAGCATCAAGGAAGTATGCTGCCAGACAGCATCATTTGGAAGTCCTGTCTTTTTGTCTCTTAGGAATAGTAGGGAAACTGTCTGTTTATGCCTGAACTCATTTTTCCAGACAGTGTGTCATTGGTCTTTTTCTTATTGGTTTGTAAGAATTCTTTATACATTGAGAATACTAGTCTTTTGTCATGTGTGTTACAAGTATTTCCCCATTTTTTTAACTTTGTTTACAGTACTTATATGCTGCAGAAAAATTTAATTTTATATAGGGAAAGAAATAAATCTCCCCGTTACAGTTTCCTTGTTTCGTATTTTGCTTAGTATTATTTGCTTATTGTTATTTTGACCCTCCCAGTTCAAGATTTTTTTAAGTATGTGTTAACACAGATGAATGGACATGTAACTGATAAAGAGGAATATTGAAGGGGGCTCTTTCTACAAGATACTATAATATTAAACTGATTAAGTATTGGCGTTACGATGGGCCCTACATTGATTAAGTGTTGAAGTTGGGGAGATGGGTATTTGGGGGATATTATATCATTACATCCCATAATAAAAAATTTTCTTCAAAAAAAGAATAGTAGATGGAAAAGCTATCTTTGACTCATTCGTCTATATTCAGTAACTATTACTTATCTACTTTGTGCTGAACACAAGGGGGTATTTTGTTAATAAAAGCAAAAGATCTTGGAACTTGTATTTCTCCCATAAGAGGCAGATGTTAATGTCATGGTTAAGGGCACCAATTCCTATGTCAGATTGCCTGGCTTCAGATTCTAGCTCTGCCAGCCACTGGCTGGGTGGTTTTGAACTTTTCAGTTTTAAAAATGGGGGATAATAATCGTGTCTACCCGATAGGGTTTTGGGGAGGCTTGAATGAGAAAACCCATGAAAATTCCTTTGCGTGGTCCCTAGCACTTAGTAAATGCTCGATGAGTGCAAACTCTGAAGAAGAAGAAACAGCAACTTCAGCTAAGCAAGGACCAAGGCAGGAGGCGCAGGTGCTGAGCTGATGTTTGGGGCGGGGTTGTGACCTCACCTGGGCAGGTTACACAGGGCTGGGAGGACCTTCCAGAGGAAGGGACTTTGGAGTGAAGATGTGAGATGCAGAAGCCATGTCTTTTCCTCAGAAGTGCCCTCTTTGGCGAGTGACAGGGGTGAGGGGCAGCAGAGGGAGGGCACAGGCACAGGCAATCACCCAAAGGAGCGGGTCTGGTGTCATGTTAGTTTCCTAGTGCTGCCGGCGGGGCCACGGTGCCACGGCGCCATCGCTCACAGCCACCCGGACCAGTCATCCCTCGGCTCCACAGGGCCTCGCTGGGCTGCAGTCAGGGCCGTGTGCCCTCCTGGAGGCTCTGGAGGAGCTCCCTGCACAGAAGAGCACCACTGCGGCTCCCCGCCCCCAGCCAGGAAGGGGCTTGGGCTCAGAGGGGCCCATTTGGATATCTGCATCTTCAGGCCCTTAACTTTAACCACAGTCCGTGAAGTCCCTGCGCCACACAGGGTGCTGCCATCACGGGTTCAGGGGATGAGGACACAGTGTCTTTGGGGCCCTTTCTTCAGTCACCTCGCCCTGCCCTGTACTGCAGTCACTGCTGCAGGAGCAGGGCCACTCTCCAGACGTCTGGGGCGGTCAGATACACTACTAGCAGGAGCTGCCGACTCCGGCCTGGTTCCTCTGCTCTTCCGGGGAGCCTGCCCCAGACCCTGGGGGCCTCTCCGTCAGCTCTGGGGTAGGGGCTCTGCTGAACAGCTGTCACAAACCTGCTTTGATTCAGTCCTCTGGCTCCGCCCTCCCCCAGGCCACTCCTGCCTCTGTGCCCTGATGGGGCTGTTCCACCTTGTAGTTTTTCTGTTATTTCTGCCTATGTAATTGTTTTTGCACACCAGCCTTAAACACCGCTATTTTCAACATAATTCACACTAAAATAGCGTTTTCTCTTCTGTTAACGCTGGTTGGGTGAGAGCCACATCTTCCTCATTTGATTGCCTGGCCGTGCCTTCCACATCAGAGGTGCCCAGTAAGGAAGGGCTCATTTCCAGTGGGTTGGGAGTGTTTCCATAGAGCTCTCAGATTTGAGTCACACCAGAGTAAATTAGAGGGAGAAACAGCAAATGAAAGAAAACCTCTCGTATTATGCTGTACCTTTGTCCGTTTGCTCATTCCTACATCTGCTTTTAAATCTTCGAGCATTAATTACCTCTCCCTGCCCTTGTCATCTGCACGTAGGAGGGTGCAGCAGACAAGTTAATGGAAATTATTAATATTTCTACATCTCATGATGTTTTTAATGATTTATGAGCATTAAATGAGCTTTGAAAAGCATTCTTTAAGCCATTATTTTTGAGAAGAATCACAACTACCTGCTTTGAATTACTTTCTCCCTTGAGTTGGTTTTCTATATAATTAGATGACTAATATAAAAGCCTTATAAAACTGATGAGGGGAAATTAGTGAGTCCTAGAAGTGAGTAAAGAACAGTTGGATGGCATTCTAGGGAGTATCTATGAAGACTTTTTTTCTCTGTCATCATTTTGTTATGAACATCTCTGGCCATGCTCTGAAGCAGAGCAGAGTAAGCCCTCGTGGACCCATATGGCGTCGGAATCCACCCGCCATCCCGGCTTTGCCCTCCCTGTTCCATCTGCCTGACTTGCTTTGTTTTTTGAATCTTTGTTTATTTGCTTGCTTCTGGAGAATTTTTTGAAGCAAATACCAGAAATATTTCATACTTAAATATTTTAGTATTAAATTTTGTTTAAAAGTTTAGTTTTTACATAACTATAGTCCTACCCAACAATGAATGAAAAATCCTTAGTATCATACAGTGCTGTGTGCAAATTCCCCCACTTGTCTAAAACAGTCTGTACAGCTAGTTTATTCAAACCAGGATCAAAACAAAGCCCTTTCGCTGTATTTGATTTATGTATCTCTTGTCTCTGTTAATAATGGATGTGTGCCATCTTACCTTAATTCAGAACGCTCTTACTCTTTCACCTTTTAACTCAGCGTTTTAGAAGAGTTGCATGCTCTCATGCATTCACTCTTTAATATTATTATTTGGATTTATATAAAGTTGACCTTTTTTGTTGTATGATTCTATGAGTTTTAAAGTTGACTGACGTAACCATCATCATAGTTCTGACACAGAGCAGTTCCGTCACCAGAAAAACCCAAGAAACCAAACCAAACAAGCCCGTCCTCATTCGGCTCCCTTGCACTCACACCCTCACCTTGCCACTCGTCCCTGGCAGCCCTTGGTCTGGTCTCCATCTTTATAATTTTCACCTTTTTCAGAATGTCACATAAATGAAGTTCTGCAGTATGTGTGTGACATCTAAGATGGGCTACTTCATTCAGAGGATGTCTTTGGGATTCATCCACTCTGGGTCCTTCCTTACTGTGGAGCAGTTTTCCATCTCACAGACATACCACAGGTATGTCCACTCACTGTTGGGGAAGGTTTTTTTTGCAGTGATCCATTCATTGTCTTGTGCACGCCTTGTTCCTGTTTTACCATTAGTAACTGGTGGTGTGTAATTGCTCTTACCATCAGTTTCATGCTGGATTAGATTGATCATGAGTAGTTAGTTACATGAGAGCAAATGGATATGAGCAGAGAGTAATTTCTCTGAATGCCGTTTAACTACAGTGAGCGCTGTTACAGCTTAAAAATGAACTGTTCCCTTGTGCCTTGCGTTTGAATACCTTTTTCCCTTTAAAGCATGTTGAGCTCAAGGAAGAAAGCCATTTGAAATTTGTGAGCTGTGGGGAGGGTATAGCTCAAGTGGTAGAACACATGCTTAGCATGCACGAGGCCCTGGGTTCAATCCCCAGTACTTCCTCTAAAAATAAGTAAATAAACATAATTTCCCCCACCCCCCACCAAAACACACAAACACAAAGAAATTTGTGAGCTAAAGCTCATGCTTGCCTCTCTTTGGATAATTAGGGACCACAGCCACTGAAAGTGTGGCGTTGACTCTTGGGTTAGTCACTAGAATGTCTCTGCTGTTGCTGTCCCCTCACCCCTCTCATTAGACGAAACTGTGAAGTCTGGGTGCCCGAGGTCATTGCTGAGGGAGGGCCTGTCTTTAAACTCAGGTCTCCCCCATTAGCTGCTGTGGTTTGAGCTTCCAGTGGGCAGTGTTATTTGTGAACAGAGTGGACATTATCATCATCGAACTGGAAGAATGGTGTCCGTAAAGGTTTTACTTTGTGACTAGAAACTCTCTGTTTTTCACTCTGAAAAGTCGCTGGAGCGTTAGGCCCATTGACAGACCTTCCTTTGTGCCATGGGGTCTTAGAAAAACCGAGCCTGACACAGGAGGCAGACTGCAGACGGACGCCAGGTGGGCTTCACACAACTGAAGCTGCTGTGGTCTGAAGCCTCAGAGGCCACGCAGGAGGAAACTTCGGCTCAAAATGTAAAGGAAAGGGATGGGTTTCTGTGGTTACGTAATCTTTGGTTTAAAATGAGTATATTTATTGACTCTTATATCAATTAGGATTGGGATAAATCAAAAATAGTGAAGGATTAGTAAAGATGTTCCCTCCACTGGACCCAAATCTTTGATTTGTTTGAAGAGAAATTATGGATTTTTTTAAACTTTATGCTTATTGATATTAATAAAGTCATATATATATATATATATTTTTATTATTTTTTTTTTATTTTGTTTTGTTGGTAGGGTAGTAGGTAGTAGGAGAGTATAGTAGTATGTAGTCGTCTGTGTAGTGTAGACGACGTACCAACCGCCGCGCCGTCC